TGTCTGTCTATGCAGTTTCTGATTTGTTTTTTGAATTTAAAGTAAAGTTTTACTCTATTGCAGAGTAAAATTTTACTTTAAAGTATGTGAGTCCTATATGAAAATATTTCCAACCTGCACCAAAATTTACAATACACAAAGTCCCTGTTGCTCATAACGCAATCTTTGTGCAAAAATAATATAACACCACAACTACATATATTATCAAGAGACACAAAATATAAATTGTATTATTGTATTCTATCTGTAACAATGTTCTATAACAATGTTCCATCCTAATCCATAATAAGTGTAACATGTATCATTGTTACTATTTTATTACTCTTTCACCTACAATTACTTTTTTAGCATTCTTTCATTTACAAAAAAGAAAAATTACATTCAACATTCATATCAGATACAAAAAAAGTTGTTCTCAAAAGTCGTTCACATCGCCGTCCTTGAGGTCTTATTACTTGGCTATTTTTCTTTTGAGGTTGAATTGTTCCTCACCCCATGCCTTTGAAGAATCATTCAAAAATTAATATACTATTGATACTTGAAAATTGTTAATTTCATCATCTTCCATAAACTTTGCAATAACCTCATGTCTCATGATTTGACCCATGATATAACATACAATAATTCTGTAATCAACACTGTTAATAGAAATCAAAATCTTGTTAGATTTACTCAAATTTGAAAATCAACAAAATCATAAAGCTTACAATTTCTAACATATAAACAAAGAATATTCATGAGGCCAAAGAAAAAAAAAAGTAGGGAAAAATACACAAACATTGTAATGAAATGGTAAATTTTACTATGAAAGTAAAATTTTACTCTATTTAGAAGTAAAATATTACTCTCATTGAAAGTACATTTTTACCTTGATTGATTAGTAGTTTTGTTTGTAAGATAAGTCAATAAAGCAGCAAACAAGCAGGCAAGCATCTACACTATTACTTACTTTCGAAATTAATGCAATTAAATCACATAAAAGTAACAAGAAAAGCAAAATCGAAATCAACCAAACAACAAGAGAGGAAATGAATATCAAACAAACTAGCATTATAATCCATACATTATAATAAAAAAAATATCCATTATTACCAACACAAAACAAAGATAAAATCCATTCATTTGACATTTAAGCAAATTAAAACATCACAATGCCAAAAAAAAAAAAAAAAAAACATACAAAGAGCATAAGAGAACAAACTTTATTTTTCATTAACCGGAGTAAAATTTTATTGTTACGAAAACAGAGTACATACCAGATAAATAAATTATAGTCGAATTTTACTTTAGATCTATGAACAAACAAACAAAAAACTCTCGATTTTTTATTGTAATATATCAATTTATCATTTTTTTGACACATATTAGGTCATTTTATCTTAGATATGAAGTTATTGATCTCAAACATGCGTTCATAGGCATCAAATCTGATATGGTGATGGGTTTCAATGGATGATTTCAAAATTTCGATTTTGTGAGATGGATCGAAGATGGAGATCAAAAGGGTTCAGGGTTTAGAAAGAGAGAAAATAAAGGGAAGAGAGAGGATACCAGTAACGTGAAGATAGAAAAGAAGAGAAATGGTTCAACGAGGGTTTCGGATTATATGGAAGGGTATTTCAGTCTGTTTACCATATTTTTTCATTTGAGGGGCTTTTGAAACCATTATTTTATTTGGTGGGTTTCACACAAAAAAGGCCCCATAGAAAGGACTTTCCACCAAAAATTCCAAATAAAAATGACACAAAAATTGTGTTTGGATTCTCTCAAGTCCAGTCGAGTTTAGTCGAGTTCGTTTTTGTTTGGACTCATCCACAAACAAAAATTAGTTCGATCTGATAATCGTAACATATTTAATTTATTACATTTGTCACCAAAAAATATACAACAACAGTATTTTTTAAAATAGATCTCTATTTTTTTTATTTATTTATGACAAAGGTAATAAATTGAATAGATTACATTTATTGGATCGATTTAATAAATTTTTTTATTATATAAATGATATGCACGAAATGTTAGATAAAATAAACAATTTCAATTATCAAAGCAGAACTCGTAGCGGGACTCAAAGACCAGACGATATCCTTTAGTTGATATTATAAATTGGAGTGTACACACCAAAAAAAGCAAGAAACAAAATACAAATAAAAATAAAAATTGGGGTTGTTTTCTGAAAGAAATTCATTGCGTCCATCATGTAATTTGCTCCTTTAATTTCTGTGGATGATGTGTTTTGTAAAAGATACTGTCTGCCTCATTCATTTCATTAGAGAAAGATAGATGATTCTTTCAATCGAAAGTTGACTGCGTCATTCACATAGATAGATCATAACCCATTGGCGATTATCTGAATTATAGGATTTTAGTGGGGCCACAATCCTGGCTCCTCCAATTACATTGCCCCTATTTAGTAGATAATATCTTCTCTTCGAGCAAACAATTCGTCAGCTAAATTTATAAATATATGTACACAAAAATATAAAAGCTTACATTTCAGTTGGTGTAAGCAATCATTTTTTTTTTTTTTAAATATTCTCACATAACTACTAGTAACTTCTTGCATAATGTAACAACACATCTATTGAGTGTGCACAAATCACTAGTGTGTATATATATATATATATATGTGAGGCATTAATAAATGCATGAAAAAAAAAAAACCCAAATGAACAATTAACAACAAGAAAAATGACTCGTACCTCGAAAAGGTGAAGGCTCGATTGGCCCGAAATGAAAAACGACGTCATTTTTCTATTTTTTGTTTTTTCTTTTATATCTGAAACAGGGGAGGGAGAGAGAGAGTGAGAGAAAGCGAGAGAAAAGAGAAGAAAGAGAGGGAGGGCGAACACAGAGAGAGAGAGAGAGAGCGTTGGCGACGGTCGACGATGGCGACAGAGAGAGAGAGCTGGCGACGGTCGACGATGGCAACGATGTAGATCTGTAGATCTGTGTTTGGTTTGTTTCTTTTTTTTTGATTTTGATTTTGAACAAAAAATAACCATTTTTTTAAGGGATTAGATCTGTTTTTTTTTTTTTTTTTTTTTTTTTGAAAATTTGTGTTTGATTATGATGATGTTGTGTGTTGTTGTGGTTACAGTCCCGTTTTGGTTATTGTTGATGATGATTTGAATAGTTGTTGTGTTGTTTTTTGATTTTGGTTGTTGATGATTGGTTGTTGATGATGATGTCTCCCATGCTCCATCTCTTTTCTTCTTCTTCTTCTTCTTCTTCTTCTTCTTATTTCATCTCCATCCCCTCTATTTCAGAATAGAGAAAAGAAAGAAATAAATAAATAAAAAAATCCAAAACGACGTCGTTTTGGATTCGAGCCATTTCGAGCCTCAAGATTTTCGAGCTACAAAACGGGACTGTAACAACAATTACGTTGGTTGAATCCTTCGTTAAGAAATAGGGAAGGCTGAAAGTAGTTGATTAGTATTACTGAAAATTTCAGACATATATATGCATATTGATCCCAGTAGAGATTTGCAAGGACATAAGAAGATCATGAACGCAAGGATCTTACAGCCAATGCCCTACATAAAAATAGTAGGGAGAATATCAAAGAAGTGGAGAGTACAAAAATAATTTCAAAATACAGATAGTTTGTGGATTAGATTATACAAATAAATCTTGTACTTTCATTACTTAAAAATTACTTCTTTACTTTTCACTTTTTTGAAATTCTTGCAAAATAGTATACCAGCAACTAAATGGTTTGCAAGAACATTCAAGATCAAAGCATTAAAATTCAAGAATTCAATGTCCCACACAAGGTGCAAAGGTACAGCATATCATGGATTTGGCTAAATTGTTCAGGAAAATGTCATTGCATTCTACCACTGTTTTTTTGAACACCATTGCCATTCTACCACTTCAACCTTGACAATTTGTTTGAAAGTTGGAAAATTCAATAATTCTCAAATTAAATGGAAAAATTTGTTTCTTTTTCTTCTTTCTTTGGTTAACTTTTCACTTTTGACTCTCCAAATTATAAACCGTACACATGCAGAATACTATCATAGTACTAAACCTATGAATTAATTAGATGCTTCGAATTGCACTCGCGGCATCGAAATTTTTATTTTTTTTTTTAACCAGAAGCTTAACTTTTCACAAGTAATAACATTTCACCACCTTCATAAGCAGATCATAATTCCTTCACCCACTAGATATACACATCAGAAAGATGCTAATATAACTTTCCTAGTTTCCCACTATTCCATCTTGAGTCCTTTTTATTTGATTTTTATTTTATAAAACTATTACTTCTTGGTCTCCCACTAATTTAACCCGATGATGGTTAGTCCTTTTAATATCTCAAAATTTTACATTGTTGACAATGGTGACTAAAATTTCTTTATTGGTCTTATGGTTAGTTTACTACATTGGTCACTCACAAATTCACCTATTTCCATGAACATCAGTTCAAACCACCAGTCATCTTTGTAAAACTTTTTCTTTTTTTCTTTTTTTTTTTGTCTTTTTTTCAAGTTTTCCATCTTTGGAACTGGATAAAACTGAGTGAAGCAGTAGAAAATAAGTCATCCATATCAAGTGATACGTGAATTGCTCATTAGTGCTTTAGCACAAACACAACTAATTAGCTGGCGGAAACAGCTTAATGCTACAGCATAGACTTACCAAGGCTAAGATTGAAGGTTCAAATGCTTAGCTCCTTCGCATCTTTGACTTAATACCCAACATTTGCTCAATGCTAAATATTTATACTACTTATAGAAGTGCAACATTTGCTCAATGCTAAATATTTTTACTACTTATAGAAGTGCAAGATGGAGTTCTACTAATAAAGTATTTCCCTACTTTGAACTAAAGGCTTCTTGCAAGAAGTATAAAAATTTTATCTCCACAACATTGTTGGAAAAAATGGTCCAAGTACCATAGCACGGGCTGCATTCGGGTCTTCTATCAAATGTCAATCAATTAGCTTTAGTTACCACATTTCAAAACTTCTCCAGCATACAAATACAAACATCTAGTCAAAATAAATGCAGCAGTTCTATTTACATGCTGTGTTCATATAAATAGTAAAATTTTATAAATTCTCTGCTAGAGTAGAGTTATGTTAACATGTACGTATATGTATATATTATTACAGCGACATTCAACCTTCTCAAAGTGCTATATTATACAGAACCATCAATCTCACCATTTATAGCCAAGTTCTATTACTGTTTTCTGAAATTAAGCCTAGTGTATCAGAATAGGAAAGTCAAAGCATTTGAGAAACTTACAACGCGATGGTATCTTTTTCGTTCAGTTGTTCAGCTTGAGATGCCGATGACACCAAGGTTTCCATTGCATCAATGGGACATCCATTAGCACTAACTACACCATTTGTGTTAGCTTGACAGTCAATAATTGCCGGTTGACAGTTTTCTTCCCAAGAAACTGCCATCTTCCCATTACCAACAACACTACCGCCCTGCATTGGTATATCCAGATGAGGATGAAAGCACGGAACATCATTCTCGCATTGTAGGGCCATTGCAGTTCCATTAGACTGGACCCCACATTCGCCTTCCTTGAAAGTAGCTGTCGGATCACACTTGTTTTGGAAAGGGAAAACACCCAATTCCTCATCAATTTTGCCTCGAAGATCAAGCAATAGGCCTCTCAGCCTCAAGATTTCAGATTCAAGAATTGCCTGCCCTTGCAGTTTCCTGATTAACTGCTGGTTCAAGAGTCTCAATTTCTTGACTTCCTCTTCCAAGTAAGCAGTGTGTGCCTTCTTCTTCTCCCTATATTTCCGTACCGCTTCTCTGTTGCCCGAAGCCCTCCGAGGTTTTGGCACCAGATGATCTTCACCTTGTGGCGGATCGTCATCTTCTCCTGATGGAAAGACTTGGGTGTGGGTGTGGAAGCATGTGTGTGTGTGTGATGTGTCAGGGCCAGGGCCAGGAGGATTGCAAGTGTGAGTGTGAGTGCATGTTCTTGTGTTCTTCAAGAATTCATCAAGAACTGAATCTATAGATGATGATGATGGCTGATGAGTATTTGTAGACGAATCGGGATTCAGTAACAAACCATGCTGGTCAGAAAGCTCTACTTCACCATCATCCATGTTTTCTTTCACTTCCCAAACCAGACTAGATGATAATCTAATGCAAATCCTAACCCTCTATGAAAAGTACTTCCAAAAAACCCTCACATTTTCTGGACTAAAAAGCCTCAATAATCGAACAAAACAATCATATTTCCACAAATTTAATCTAATTCCCCTGACACACAACCAATTCACAAAATTCTCAATTCAAAATTGAGATTTTGTGATTGTTATTGATTCATTCAAGTATATATTCACTGAAGCACAAACTCCAGATCATAATCCATCAATTAATTGTCCACAGCATAAATTCCCGCAATTATTATTTTTAAAAAAAAAGTCTAAATTTCACGACCTATGACCATAGAACAACTTTACACATGAACAAAAGTCAATGGTATTTAACACATCAGAAGCAACTTACTTGAGGAATCGAAGAATACCCAGATCATGAAGATTCTCCAACAGAACATAAAATCAAGCATAAAGACAAGATTTGATATAGAAATGGTTCCAGTGCTGAAGAGAATCAGAACCCCCAAGTGGGACAAGCTGAGAAAACAAAAGAGATCTTTTTTTGTATAGAATCTGAGAAAAGGAAGTACGCGGGTTTTGATCAATTGGAGAAATAGAAGATTCTTGATTGCTTTGTTTCGTTTGCACTTTTGTATTTATTTGATTTTTAAGTCACAACTTCTGGCCACAATTGTTCCAGCCATCTGAAAACCTTCTAGTCCATTAACAATGTTTTTTTTTTTAAGACAAGGAATCCGTAAAATTCGTAATTCGATCCAGTCCAGTCCAATTTAATAGGTTTGGATTGATTTTTTAAATCCGCGGTTCGGTTCCGGATTGAAGGATTAAAAATCCGTAGTACACGGATTGGTTCTGGATTGAACCCCACGGTTCTGGATTGAATCCCACGGTTCTGGATTGGAACCGATCCGGACCGTATACAAATAGTATATATTTTTATTATACATCCTCCCCCATAGTATCTTCTCTTATTTTATATAAAATCTAAACTCAAACCTAAAACTGTATAATATTTTCTTTTATTACTTTTGTTTGTTAGTTTTTAGTAATATTTTATTTAATAAAAATATAAATATTATATGTGATTTTTTTTATTTATATAGAATAAAAATTAAATAGAAATTAATCAATCGAGATTTTCTTAATTATTTAAAATTAAAAAAATCAAAAAATTAATATGAGATATTAATCATAAAATTTCTTATTTAAAATTTCATTTTGTTTATAGAAATAGGAATATAAAATTCATTTTATATAAGTGAAACAATTTATTTTTTCTTTCTTTTCTCGATGTAGGATTATAAAATAAAAGTTAAATGAAAACTAGCCAATGAGAATTTTCTTAATTGTTTAAAAGTTAACAATTGTTTGGGCAGAATTTTATTTCAAATCAAGCAATCTTAACCGTTTAATTTTTAATTAGGTCAATTTTTAATTTGTTTCGATTTAAACAAATTTAACTAATATATTTTGATAAAATCGCTAAAAACCTAGTTAAACCAACGAATCAGTCAAATTGAAAACGGTTCATCCTATCGGCTAGGTCAAAAGACCAACCAACTTATACAAAAATTAATTAATTGAAACTTTTAAATTTTATTTTAATTTTAAAATTTAAACTGTCTTGAACTGAAACATACACAACACTACAATATTAAATGGGAGCATAAGGTTTATATAGTGAAACAACTCATTTTTTCCTCATTTTCTTGATGTAGGATTGTGAAATAAAAGTTAATAGTTATTTGGACGGGATGTGCATTTCTAATCAAGCAATCTCAGTCGTTTAATTTTTAATAAGGTCAATCTTAGTTTATTTCAAATCAAACAAATTTAAGCAATATATTTTGATAAAACAGCTAAAATCATGATTAAACCAATAAATTAATCAAACCGAAAATAATTCAGCCTAATTAGTTAAGTCAAAAGACCAACCAATTTACAACAAAATTAATTAATTAAAACATTTAAATTTTATTTTAAAATTTAAACTATCTTGAACTGAAACATGTAAAATACTATAATGTTAAATGAGAGTATAATATTATCTTTATATAAGCGAAACAACTCACTTTTTATTTATTTTCTCGATGTGAGATTACAATTATTTTAAAGTTAAATATTATGAGAGTTTCAAAAACTCATACAATTTTTTTTTTTTAAAATCAAAACGTCTATGTGAGATTGTACAATAAAAAGTTAAATGGAAGCTAATCAATGAAGATTTTTTTAATTGTTTAAAATTAAGAAAATAAAAAAAAATTAGTATTGATTATGGAGTATTTCACTAAAAATCTTCTTTTACTTATATAAGTCGGAGCATAAGATTCACTTTATATAAGTAAAATAATTCACTTTTTTTATTCTATTCCCGATGTGGGATTGTAAAATAAAAGTTACATGGAAGCTAACCAATGAAGATTTTCTTAATTGTTTAAAATTAATAAATTTCAATAATTTATATAAATTGGTGCATAAGATTCACTTTATGTAAATGAAACAATTCACTTTTTTTTCCCCCGATATGGGATTTTAAAATAAATGGTAAATAGAAGCTAGCCAATGGGAAATTTCTTAATTGTTTAAAATTAAAAAAAAAATCAATAATTTTAGAATGAGGGTTTAGAGCTTCTAGAAGGTTTTTACCATAAAATTCTATTTATAAGATTCATTTTATATATGTGAAACAATTCACTTTTTTTTTTTCTTTTTCCAATGTGGGATTATAACACTTTATATAAGTGAAATAACTCAGTTTTTTGGATTGTATTATTTTAAAATTAAGTATTATGAGAGTTTCAAAATCTCATACCAAATTATTTTTAAAATCGAAACTATGTGGGATTGTGAAATAAAAGTTAAATAGAAGTTAGTCAATGGAGATTTTCTTAATTGTTTAAAATTAAGAAAATTAAAAAAAAAATGAGTATGAGATATTGATCTTAGAACTTCTCACTAAATGTGATGGGAGTACAAGTTTCACTTTATATGAGCAAAACAATTCTTTATTTTTCCCTTGTTTTCCCGATGTGGGATTATCAAATAATTATTTAAAATTCGTTCTTTTCCCAATGTGATATTATCAAATAAAAGTTAGCCAATAGAGATTTTCTTAATTGTTTAAAATTAAGAAAATTTCAAAATTTAGTATGAGATATTGAAACTCTCACAAGGTTCCTCACTAAATGGAATGAGATTATCAAATAAAAGTAATTATTTAAAATTCCTTCTTTTTCAAATGTGGGATTATCAAATAAAAGTTAGGCAATGGAGATTTTTTTAATTGTTTAAAATTATGAAAATTAGGAAATTTAGGATGAGATATTGAAACTCTCACAAAACTTCTCATTAAATGGGATGGGAGTATAAGTTTCTTTTTATAGGAGTAAAACAACTCATTTTTTTCCTTGTTTTCCGATATGGGATTATCAAATAAAAGTAATTATTTAAAATTAAGAAAATCAAAAAAATTAGAATGAGAATTTGGAGTTCTTAGAAGGGTTCTCACTAAAAAGTCTCTTTTCCTTATATAATATAATGGGCACAAATGTAAGCATCATTGACACTATTTGTGCATTGTTTACAAAAATATATGTCACGATTCAAATTCACCCTTAAAATTTTGAATCATAATTGGTTAGTAATTATAGATTATTTACGGCCTCGTAACCAAATTAAAAAATAATTATTTAATGTATGGAGGTCGGAAACGGAAGTAAAACAAAATTAACATTATCCATTGGCTAGTGCATACATGATATGAACTAAAAAAATAATTGAAACATTTCAAAACACACTTATAATATATACAGACATTATCTTATACATCCCAAGATCACATACATGACTTAACAAAACTTGATATATCCAAAGCTTAACAAAGCTTGAACAAAAGCAAAAGTTAAAGCCTCTACATGAAGGCGCATCTTCGGATGGTCCTCACAAAAATGTTTTACTCCAAAGTAAACTCTAATGCCAATCCTCTTAATGTTCACCTACATATATAGGGAAAGGGAGTGAATTAGAAGCCCAATGAGTAACATCAATATAAAGGGTTAGTGACTGAGTTCCATATTTATTAAAACATTCTAATCATGAACAAAAACAATACTACAAAAATATGTAAAACAAAAAGTTCATCAAACCTTTCATAGTTACACACATTACGCTGTTCATGAACATGTTATTCAAAAACTTATCAGAAATGATGGGACAATTCCCAATAGCGTTAAACATATTTAAACTTGATAGAACGACATTTGGTCCATTACTTAGTAGAACAAACTCTGGTCCAATTCATAGCAGAACGATCTCTTGTTCAATATATAGCAGATGTCTAGAGCAAAACAAGTCATAACTTGACGGAATGACCTTGGGTCCAAGGTCAACATATAACAGATATCCCAGACTTATCAGATTATCAAAACGACCTTGGGGTCCATCTTATTAGATACACAGAACGACCTTAGGTCTATCTCACACATTTGTACTTAATTAATTCCATTAACGGATATCATGTTGATTGAACAAATAGAAGCTCATTCATTTTCACAAAATCATAGGTTTAGAGAAGCTTACCACATTGAAAACTTTTTGAAAATAACATATATGAAAAACATAATTTCGGGAAAACTTATCACACTGGACACTCATTCATTCATAGAAAAACATAATTTTAGAAAACATAACATTTCATAATGTTTCAAGATAAATACTTAAGAACATAATTTCGAAAAAACTTATCACATCATAAACATTTTAGAATTTCTTAGCATATCTTATAATTTCAGAAAGTACTTGTATTAGAACACTTATCATATCAAAACATTTCATAAACAATATACAGATTTCATAAAACATCTCATTTTTGAAAATCATTTATACGAAAATATTTTTACAAAGATATTACTCACAGTGCTTGGTCAGACGATACTCTTCGATGAATTAACCTACATGATACACACAAAGACATACACATTGAAACATAATTCCAATCAAATACTTCTCTTTCTAATTTATTTACTTAAGTTGATTTCTAATTTCTTAATCTTTCACGAGGCTTAAATCATGCCTAGAAATGCTAATAAGGAGATGGCAACAAAAATACAAAGAGTAATTTTCCAAAAGTTAATAAGACAAGGTGACCGTTCAAGCAGTCTCACCACCTCTCAAGCAATGAACACGAGTTCATAGTACTTCAGTCAGCAAAAATAGATATTGGATGCCTTCAATGTGTGCTCGAGCGGTCTGTAAAATTTCAGAATCCAAACTTTGTAAAAATGGCATCAAAACACATTGTCAAAATTTGATAAAAATCATGAAAACACTTTAGAAAACATAAATACATATTTATTTATAAACCATTTGCTCAAAATCTCATCAATTAATCAAAGATTAAACCAAAACCTCCATGCATGCAAAGGATTTTAAACTTCTTTTTCTTTAAAGGGTAAAACATAAAATTAAAGATATAAACTCATGAATTTCTTAAACAATTACCAAGATATAAACTTCCATACACGAAACTTCAAAATTCAAACCCAAAATCATGAAACATTATTAATAATTCACTTGTTTGAATTAAAATCTTACATAATTTCAAAATCAAAACCCAAATCTTCATGAACCCATGATTTCTAAATTTTTTCTTCAAAATCAAATGCATAATGAAATTGCATGGCTCAATTCCTCAAAATTCATAATGCATATAATTTATGAAACTTAATTTAACTATAGTTTTCAAAATCAAACCCAAAACTGGTAAAATTCAAAATTTATACTTTAGGTTTGTCAACTTAGCTTAATTCTTCATTCCAAACCCAATCTCTTACAAATTACATGATGTTGATTCCAAACTCATCTTACTTTCAAGTGTAATACAAAGATTCTACATGATTAGAACTTTAATTTCTTACATAGAGTTGTTAATCTTGTAGAGATTCTTGAATTCCTCTTCAATTTCTCATGTTCTTCTTTAATTCTTGTCTTTCTCTCTCTAAGATGAGCTTTCTCTCACTCTAAGATGCTCCAACAAAATTCTACAAGTTTCTACACTTATTGAACTCAACATAAACATATAACATACAAGAGCTATTATTCTCTACACACACTCCTCAATTAATCAAATTAATTAAACACAATTTAATCTTAATTAATCTTCATTAGTACATAATTCAATTGGTTTAATTAATTCCAATTAAGGCCCAATTTAAACATACATAACTTTACCAATCTGAATCAGATTTTTAATTAATTCATCATATTGTTCTACACATTAAACTGATTCAATTAACCTTGTCAAATATGATTTCTCAAATAATTAAAGCTTCTAATTTCTGATCAGAATCAAAATTCCTATCACTAAATTACATATACAAATCAGACACATCACAAGAAAATCAAATTCAGAATAATCATAAATCCCACATAACTTAATTAATTCCAATTGGGGTTTAATTTCAGGGAGATTAACCAATAAGTCCTATATTTTGAACTTATGATCCATATAGTTCCATATTTTTTTCTTGTGATCCATTCAATCCTTTTGAACATGTAATGACTCATTTGTCCGCCACATTGGAGTGTCACGTTTAGATAAAAAAAAAGATATACACTAAGGAGTTTTTTAGCATCACATCATTCCCGCCACATTAGAATGTCACACTTAAGAAAAGTATAATAAGGAGTTTTTATTTTTTTTAGAGTACCACATCATACCCGCCACATTGGAGCGTCACATGTTACATTTAGGAAAAGTACACTAAAGGGTTTTTAGTTTTTTTAGAGTGTAACATTATGTCTGCTACGTTGTCAAATTTGAAAAAATTACACTAAGGTGCTTATGATATGTGAAACAATAAGGTGGTTTTCATCCTTTTCAAGTTAATATCACTCCAGAGACAAAAGGATCGCAAAAGAGGCAAAAAGAGGTAAAAATTCTGTCATTGAGTGAATCCGCATGAGCGGAATTCACCAATCCGCACGAACAGATTTTCCTGCCAAAAATTGCTCACTAACTGGATCCGCTCAAGCAGAATTCCCAATCCGCATGAGCAGATTTTGTCTTGATATGTGTGCGCGTGTTTTTTACTCTAAATGGACTGGAGGCTATAAAAAGGGCTTTTAGGGACCTATTTTGGCATCAAAAACCCTAGAGAAGATAGCTAGAAGCTAGAGAAGAAGAGCAAATTATCAATCCATGGCTTTCTCTTCAACATCCAAAGTGTTCAACCTCTCCATGAGCGGCTAAGCTTTCTTCTTAGGATTGAGATGAAATTCTAATCAAGTATCATATAATTTTGTATCTTAATTCTAGTTTGTCTTTGGAATTGGATAATCGTTGTATGATTGTTTTTAGATTTTTTTATTCAAATAATCTTTTCATTCGATTTATGTATTCGATTTCTGTGATTGAGAATGCATGATCATACAATTGTTTTACTTTCTTATATATATAAATCATGAGATGAGTCATGCTTAGGGGAGACGAATCGTGCTGCAACTTTAGTTTAGTGTAGACGATTCGTGCCTACGTTTTGAATATACTCATCTTCTTGACAATGATATTGGAGCTTATAGCGATCTCGGTTTCCCTTTTCTTTAATTGTTGTATCCGGACTTAGGTTCCGTGGAGTTGGTTGTTGCGTATACCTTATTCACATCCTTTCTTACTTTGTATCTGAGTTATAGGATGTGTTGGGCAGGTTTGTTACAGGTTGGTTGAGGTTTAGAAACCAAAACTAGTTGCCCAGATTTTGACCTGTCTGCTCGAGCGGGGAGTTTGACGCTTGAGCAGGGATCCTTTTCTTGCTTGTCCGCTCGAGCGGGAGGTTTTAGCGCTCGAGCGGGGATCCTTTTCTTGTTGTACGCTCGAGCGGCGGTTATGACGCTCGAGCGGGAGTGTGTGAGTGCCGCTCGAATGGGGAGTTAGACGCTCGAGCGGGAGACCTGTCTGCAAAAGTGCTGGGAGTGTGCATCCACCGCTCGAGCGGAAGTTTGGCCACTTGAGCGGGAGTCTGTGAGTGACGCTCGAGCGGGGCGACTGGGTTAAAGCTCCGTGTTTTGACTTTTTAAATCACTTTTTCCACTTCTCTTCTCTCTCTTACTTTTCCAAAAACACCATTGTTGAGCTTCTCACTCTAGAGCTCTACCTTCTCTCTAGGTATTGATCTAGTAGGAGTGATTTCCTCACCTTTGGCCTTTACAAAAAAGTTGTTGATCGTCGAGGGCTATCTTTTGATCCGAAAAGTTCGTGGTTTGGAGCATTTTCGTTTCCATCATCTTCTTGGTTGGGTGTCATTCTTTGAGGTAGGGATAACCTACTCCTCACTATGGGTTTTGTCTTTAAATTTTAGCATTTTGAGATGTTGGGGTTGGGTTGGTAATGTTGTGAAAGTTTGGGGCTTTTGTGTAAATTTACAAAAGTTGGGGTTTTAGCTATATAAAACCTAGATGCATGTTTGGCATGGAAAAGTGAAATTAATGTTAAAACATTAATGAAAATGGAACCTAAGGATTGTAATGTTAATTATGGAAAATGCCCTAATTACATTGGTTAATTAATTCGCATAAAGGATGGCCAACACTGATACTTCCCCTAACACACTTTACGGTTTCATGACATACAAGTCCATGTTACAATCCATTTTCCAATTCTTTTCAATTCTCAATTTATAACCATGGCTCAGAACCTGGCCAAACAACTTATATGAGACAGTAACTCATATTAAACTTCTTCCCAATTCATATTAGATAAGCGTACTAGCTATATCACACAATCAACAGATAAGCATACAAGCTATATCATCACTTCCATTAGATATGCATAAGAGCACTATCACACTTCCAAAGACAAGCATATGAGCTATGTCAACACATTACTAGATAAGCATATGAGCTCTATCTATGGAGTTCATCCCCTATCTTCTCCCAACAACATCCGGTTTAGAGGTCCATCCCCTATCATCCCTAAACCGTGGAGTACATCCGCTATCTCCTCCAACACGACACAATGCATATAAACAATATATACACATCATCACACAACACATAAATTAATGTATTCTTTCAACCGTCATACTCAATGACACATTCCAGTGATTAGTTTCAGTTTGCCTAATCATCATGCATTGTCTACAACAATCAAGACTATCTCCACCGATAGCCCAAAGCAGTTATTTCTATACAGAAAATAAATGCAACATGGATATATAATCGACATTTCAACCAGGGTGAGTGATAAATAATCCAACTACACCCTTTAATTCCATACATTTCCAAATCAATTTCTATTCCTCATAATTAAT